AGGGGAAGGGGAAGGGGAAGGGGAAGGGGAAGGGGAGGGAAGGACTATTCACTGAATACTTACTAAGTTACAGATTCCATGCTCAGTGTTTGATATGTTTTGTTTATGTCTCACAGCTAACTGGAGACATAAGTTTCAATGTCTTCATTTTATAAACAAACAAAAAAAAAAGCAGGTCTCACAATAGTGTGCAGTTGTAACACTAATTACATCTATACCTTCTAAAACATTTAATCGCTAAGTAAAACAGAAAGCAAGTTTTACACACTCTAATCACATGGATTTTTCCACCCTGTTCTTTAAGGTTGAGTGTTGGCACTTTAAATAGGTGAGAGCATAGGGCTTCCCTACACGTTTTTACCCCTCAGAGGAGTGTGGCCAGCTGACAGTACTGCAAACAAATGCTGCCCACAGCACGGCTAGCAAATGTTTTGTGTTTGTCTATGTGTTACCCTGTTGTTTGAACATGCCATTGTCTCAAACACATAGTAAAGCGTGGGCTGTAATTTTGTACTATAGTCTACTGGGAGGTGATGTATTTAAAACTGCATATCATGAGTGTGCTTCTGAAAGCGGAATCGGAAGCCTTTATTCTCAGGAAGCAGCAGAGTTGCTCCCTGTTTAACTGGGGAGGGAGATCGATATGTGTGTAACTGAGCACAAGAACCACGCCCCTTGGTTTTGCAGTTGTAACCCCCCCACCGTTCCTTATCTGGGGATGTACCTGACAGACCTGGCGTTCATTGAAGAAGGGACGCCAAACTTCACTGAGGAAGGCCTTGTCAACTTCTCCAAAATGAGAATGGTAGGTGATAACTTCCTAATCCTCCTGTTTCAGTGCCTTCACTGGCTTATAGAGGAGAGGCTAAGTCATGAAAGCCACTGCTTGCTTTTTAATCTCCAAATGGGCAAGGCGGGGAACTGAGCTCCTAGGAAGACTGTCTAAGGCTGACCAGGGATAGACAGATGCTGGAAGCTTCTTGCTCGACCACCAGGTTCTGAGAACCAAGTTAGAAGCAAGGAGCCCATGGACAGCAGCACCCGGAGCCTGCCTCTCCTGAGCCCCAGGCCACCCAGTGCCTCAGGCCACTCAGGCGGCTGCCCCTCTTGCGAATTCAGGGTCTCCTCAGCGTTTCTTACAGCTCCTTGAAAGGCGAGGACCCTGAGCTGAGGGAATGACGGGCGGAGCTCCAGGCGCCTCCCTGAGGGCGGGGCTGGGTGCTCTGGGACGGGCTCCCGGGAGAATGAGCCGCACCACGGGGAAATACTTTGGCTCTGCTTCTGTTGTTTCTCTGTCAGATATCTCACATCGTCAGAGAGATACGCCAGTTCCAGCAGACTTCCTATCGAATAGACCACCAGCCGAAGGTAATATTGCGGTTGTAAGGGAATTTAATAAGGAAAAAAAAATAAATTAATGAATTAGAAACAGCACTAGAGTTGATCAATAATACCAAAAGCTGACTCACAGAAAAGACCAATAAAATAGACAAATCTTTGGCAAGTCTGATGAAGAAAAAAAGAAAGAAGGGCAAAAGACATCAATTTATCATCAAGTCCTATTGATCTGTACATCCTGTATTTCCCTTGAGTCTGTCTACATCACCACCGCCCTGGCCCACGCTACTAATACCCGTCACCTGATCTGCTTGCGTTCACTCTAGAGTGCAAAATCCATTCTACAAATTACAGCCAGAACTCTTTGAAATAAAAAGCAGAATATGTCTGCAACTTGCATAAAATACTTTATTGGTTTCCCGTTGCTCTTAGGATTAAGAAAGAAGAACCCTTGCTGTGTCTAAGAAGTCTTGCATTACGTAGCCCCTTCTCCTCTTTCAAGATTCCTCTCACCTTCTGTTCCCCTTTCCCCTTCCTCTCTCCATCCCAGCCTGCCTTCCTTTCCTTTTCATTTTTTAATTGATGTTATTTTTCAGAATCGTTTTAAGTTTACAGAAAAATTGAGAAAGTAGTACAGAAGATTCCCAGTTTTTCCTGCTATTTCATGGAACTTGACAGACTTATCCTAAAACTGATAAGGAAGTTCAGGTAGGCAAAAAACAGACAAGGCCGTTCTGAAAACTAAGACGAGTAAGGGAGAGCTTTCCTCACTGGATACGGACACGTGTCCTAGACTGTAGCTAATGAAATAGGGATGCAAATTAAGTGGAGCAGGATAAAGTCTGGGTGCACATTTTATCTTTATGAAAATTAATATGGGATAAAGGAGGCATTTTTTTTAAGTGCCAGAAAGAAATAGACCATTCAGTAAACGGAACAGGAATTTTGGCTCTCCATCTTCCATACCAGTCACAAAAATAAATTCCAGATGAGTTCTTTACCTAAATATAAAAGAAACATTAAATGATTTGAATAAAATATAAGAGAAAATATTTATGATCTTTATATCTGAAAGACCTCCTTAAGCACAGAATACAAAGCTGTAAAAGACAAGCTTGATAAATTTTACCCCATCAAAATTTAAAACTCCTACACGACAAAAGACAATTGTTTAAAAAGTCAAAACACAAGCAGTAGATTAGCTGACAATATTTGTAACATATAAAACAGAGATGGAATAAAAGTATTCCTATAAATCCATAAGAAAAGTATAAACAACTCTAGAAAAATTGGCAAAGCTACGCACAGGTGAGTCTCAGCAGAAGAAACAAAAATGGCCAGTACAGATATGAAAAACGCTCGATTTCACTAGTAAGAAGAAAAAATGCAAATTATAATGAGGCATCATTTTCACCTATCACTATACTATTGTCTGTTTCTCTGGGTTATGCCTGTATGTTCTTTGGCAAATCCTTCATTGATTTTATTTTTTTACATTGAGAATATATTAATACTTTTTCAGTTGTGTGAATTTTTTAAATGTTTAAGAGAATATGTTGAACTGTGTCAGATTCTATTCAGGAAAACGCACATACTGGCGTTCCGACAAAGCTGAAAGCTTAGGATTTCCTTTTTCTCCAGGTCACTCAGTACTTGCTCGACAAAGCCCTCATCATAGATGAAGATACGCTGTATGAGCTCTCGCTAAAAATTGAACCTCGCCTCCCTGCTTGAAGCTCCAGCCTTGCCCTGGCGCGGAGCTTTCCTGGAGGGGGCGGACAGAACTGCAGGCCGTGCCCCCCGTGGGGCCTCGCCGACGGGGACCGGGGCGCAGCCAGCTCTGCTTTGTCCACGGGAGAAGACAGACCGCCACTGGAGTTGTGTCTCCGGCCAGGGAAGCCCAGCTCTTTGGGGTCAGATGCTTCAGGCTTGGGTGGGAAGGTGAAAAGAATGGTATCTGGTAAAGTTGGTGGCACACCCTGCACAGGAGAATGTAGATGGGAGGTGTGGTAGCCGCTTTAATGACACAGGTAAGAAGAAGGTCAGTTTCAAACTCCGGCCCGTGTTGGGTCAGAACTTGGGGATGAGGGTCCATGGAAAGGCCAGCGATGCTTCTCTGGCACTTCACTGGCCTGGGGACACCTACCCAGCTTCTCCTAGGGTATAACTGCTTCCCTCCCCTTTCCTCTGTGACAAGCTTCCAGAAGAGCCGAGGCTTCCTTTGCAGGGCTGGGCCGACACATCAGCAGCCTCAGCCTCCAGCATGTGCATGGATTCAGTGCATGGAGGAATCACGGCATGTTCGGACACTGCTTTTTCAGTCTTTAGGCAACAGGAGAGGAAAGACATGATGAAGTCATGTGCATCTGTACATAACATTTCTTTAATTAAAAACTCAGCAGGCTGTACCCCAGAGGATTCCAGGCAGGGGCTGTGTGGGGGGGGGCCTTCTTCCTGAGGCAGGTGCAGAGTTTGCACAAAGGTGCCCGCGTACCTCACCAACAGAACTGCGGAGCAAGACAGAGCCCCGGAGCAGCGGGAAGAGTGGGCCTCAGCCTGAGTGAAAGGGCGCGGCGCTCACAGGCCTTCGCCCTTTGCTGGGCTTGTTTCCTG